TTGCCCCCTCTCCTCTTCCTCCCGCCCGGCCCGTGCCTCCCTGCCCCGCTGCCATCCAGGGCCAGCCCCACACCGCTGCATCCTCTTCCTTCCTCTCATCCCCACGCGACGATGACAGCAAGGACGGCACGCTACGCCCACCCCCTCCACTCCACCAGAGGTGCCCCTCCCCGCCCCCGTCCTCCTCGCGCTCGAGGACCCCCAGTCGCCCGCAGCCCCGGCGTCCTACCAGGTCCTGCTCGCCGTCCTTGCCTGCATCGCCCTCGGCACGCTCGTCTCCCTCTCCTCCTCAGTGCCCAGCGGGAGAAGCATGAGGCGACGCTGCTGATGCTCAGCGGGAGAAGCAGCGGCGGAAAATCAATGAAGCCGGACCCCTCCTCCACGGCAGCGCCTTCGTCCCCGACGACACCCAGCAGCAGCCCACTCCCGGTACTACTGCCCCCCTTCTCTCTCCCTCTCGCTCATGCTGCGGTCAGTACTCCGATTATTATCAAAATTTCCCTCTCTAGTATGCTAAGCTATAATTTTCAGTAGTATTCTGCATATGACCGAAATGGTTTTTTGAGGACACTGCAGCATGATGTCTGCACTTTTAATATGAGTGAGATGGATTTTTGACGATAGTTTTGGTTTTGGATTAAGTATCAATGAGATTTGCCGACCGGGTCCAAGATGCTTGCTTAGTTGCTTTGGAAGAAGAGTCTCTGCCCTGTTCTGCTCCTACACATGGGGGTATTAGGAGGATTCAATGTTTTGATGAGGTGGATTTAGGTTCCGCTTAATTCTGGACGAGATCGCATGTGATCACTCAAGCGACGCAATCTGGACGAGAACCTCGTTGGACAGATTCCTGAGAAGATAGGCTACGATTTGTTCGTCCTGGATTAACCAGGGGGCATAGGCAGGGTTCACAACAACCTGATCCTTGTCGCCGGTGGTCTTTGTGGTGATTGTTTTGCAAGGTTCTTAGATGGTTTGATCGAGGTAACCGTATAGGCCGGCGCCCATGATCTGTGATCTGGCTTGAGCGTGCCATAGGATATAGTTGGTGCGGGTAAGAGGTTTAGATGTGTTGTTGTTGAGGCCAGGGGACATGACAGAGGTGAAAGACGACATGGTGGGTGAAGGTTAATGGCGCTAGATGTGATGGAAGGGACTGCTCTGTATACCATGTAGAAACCTATGGTTAAGCATCTCAATCTCCATACATGGAGACCCGCGGAGTATATATTGATTGTGGGAGTCGGTACAGGAGATGGCGGCGTCAAGGCTAACCATCGAGATATATTACAGGAGGATTTAGGAGATAAGAGAGATAAAACACAAAAAGAATAAACCTCCTAACTACCATGCCGTGAGCCTGAAGGCCTCATAGCGTGTTACAAAGCGACATGCTAAACCTGTACAAGATATGTGTTTAACAGTTGTAGCTAGGTAAATTACTCTGTTCAAGTTCACCGTCATGTTTTATTAGAAAGTACATTGTCTATGGATAATGCATCTCAGGGGATCGCAGTGAGGATGAAAGGTTTGGAGAAATGCAAAATGATAAAATTAAGACGTTGGTATACAAAGAACTATCAGGAAAATATACACCATCAATCATTCACCATAAGGACACATCAGGGCAGTAGCTGAGTGGAGAACTAATTAAAATGTTTCTCCTGGATTTCTGTTTTTCTATACTAGAGATGGGTCTTAGATAGTCTGCTAGAGTAGCCACACAAACCAAGGGCTTTAGTCCCTATAGCTATAAGATGACATCTGCTCTTTGGCTTTTCCCTCTTTATGTGTGACAAGATTGTCTGATTGTGAAATGCATGTAGTTCATTAAGAACTTATGGTTTAATTATAACATTAACACTTTTGAGCCATGACCTGACCTTATATACTGCTGCAATCAAATAGCAATAACCTAACATACTTTGACCTAAACCAATGTTGCTTGGTCAATAAATAGCGTGCTGACTTGCTGGTTCAGTTTAGACATGTAGGCAGAAGCCAATAATGGCATGCTGCCTTGCTGGTTCAGTATAAAGTATGTTAGGTTATTGCTCTTTGCTTGTTGATCTAACAACCAATGCTATGGTGTATAGGTCTATGGACAAATAGGTGCAAGGAGGGCTTTGTTTGGTGCAACGCAAGACAATAGCCAATAGATGTTTAAACTGCCAGTTAATGGAGTACTGAACATGTTGGTTTGTCGACGATTGCTGTAACCCACTTCAGATGACGTATAGATTACTAAAAGTTTTTAGTATTCAGTATTTATCTTTTCTTACATATATATACACGATTTACTACATTTATGTATATCTTACCTTTCAACTCATGGCCAAATTCACTTGATCAATTTTCAGTAGCCAATCTGATGAATGGTTTGGAGTTTGGCTGCAAATAAACTTGAGACTAAGAGCATTTGTAAATAGCATCAATGCATAAGTAAATATTTCCCCGCACTTCTATTTCATGATTAGGCTGTCCCAGTATTTGATTACCAGGTATGTTTGGTTTGCCAATTTTGTATGGGATGTATCATTTTGTTGACCATTCGATGAGTTCAGTATACGACCATCAAGCCAGATGTTGTGGCGACAGACATGAGGCAACCATACATCTACTGTGAAGGACTACTCTATGGCCTTTTACTCGCTATCATTTAGCCATACATAGCATAGAGGGATTATGTACACAAGTTGCCATCTGTATGATTCATGTAATGTATTTGATACTTCTATAGTTTTATCATTGTAATCAGACAACTCGAGTGCGCTAAAATCACTGTGCATACTATTTCATTCTATTGTATTTAAAAACGATTATTCATATTGGGTTGCCTGTCGTTTGGAGGGTAACGCGTGGCAAGGCGCGTGACCAACACGTTGGTTCCTACTAACTTAACATTACTTACTTGACCAAAACGTTTGGACCGGCACCCTCCTGATCTAGCTGCATATGATGGTATAGCTTGTGCAACTGACTTGGGAAGGATTTCGTTATAGCCCAATGATGATTGCCTCTCTTTTCAACCATTCACCCTCTGCATGACATGATCAATCAAGTGCTGAAAACAATTTGTTTTATCCATCCCCGCTTTAGACGGCAATCCCAAATACTTATCATTGTGCGCTTTTGTCATGATATTTAGCAAAGCACAAAATTTGGGTCTTGACATGAACATCAGTATTGGGACCGAAGAA